GGGGCAAGTCCCCAGCTACCCAGGCTAAAACCCCTTATGGCATTCAGTCTCTTCCTGTTTCCTTCTGTAACCACTTGTCAGATCCTGTAATGGTCTCTAACTGAGTGCTGTCATTAGAGATTTCTGGGAAGCATCAATCTCTGCATTTGCACTTTGCAATGTTGTCCTAAACTGGGCTGTCATCCTCTCACATGGGGCACGGGGACTATTTATTGCCTTCCAGTTGGTCTCTCAGTCTTAGTCACAAGCTTCAACACAAAAATCTACTTGAACACTCTTCATAAATCATGGGATGAAGCATCTTGCTTCCTTCATCTGCAGTCTCAACTCTCATGGCCAAAAGAATATCATAGAAGAATACTGTATTTCACATATACAGAATATTCTTATCTCTTGCCCTGCACTTCTTAGACCTCATTTCCAAATGAACATCATCTCCAGCCAAGTCAGATAACAACTTGCATGCCTCCTGAACATTTCCGTGGTGTTCCTCCTCCAAATCTTTTTCAGTCCAGACCTGTTCATATTCACTGCCCCCCAAATCCTTTTCTTTCTTTAAGAGCCCTCTCAAGGATACTGTCTTCTGAAGCTTTCCTTACTTCTTCTAGTTAGAACTACTCTTCTTTCACTGCAATGATACAGCACCTTGCTTTCTTTTCTGTCAGAGTGTGTATGTGTGTGTATATGTATGTATTTCTTTTTCTTTTTTTCTATTTTTGTCTGTCGTTACCATGTGTTTAGAGCATAGAGGATGAGCTGAAGCATGAATTCACTATGCCATCTGAACTGGATACTCTACTGATTTTTTTTCAACTTGATATTGTCATGGTTTAGGAAATAATGTCATTTAGCAGCCTGCCTTATTTATAAACTAGTCCAGCCCTTCCAGGCATTTTGAAGGACCCAAAACACAGAAATGCTGGTGAAATATAGTCATTGTCTATTTAGTGATTCCATTCTTTCTTTGAGGGCATCATAACTTGGCACTTGAATAGAAATAGCATCCTAGTTTTACTCTTAACATATATCTTCTGCTTGATGAAAGTGGTTTTCGGATAGTGCTTTACCATCACCCCCACCTCCACTTCAAGCTACTGCTTTTTTGGGGCTATAATGTAATTTTTTTTCTTCCAGTTTTATTGAGGTAAAATTGACATATAACATTATATAGGTTTAAGGTATACAACATAATGATTTTTTATATATAATGAAATGATTATCACAATGAGTTTAGTTAACACTCATAATCTCACAGCTACAATTTTTTTTTTTGTGATGAGCACTTTATAGATTTCTTCTCTTAGCAACTTTAAAATACACAATTTGGTATTAGTAACTATAGTCACC